ACAAAAAATGGAAATAGAGAAGGAGAGAAGAAAATAAAATTAAGAACATAAAATACTTACAGAAAATATTTTCTTAGAGTAATCAAGTCCAGTGTTTAACACTGTCTGTTTAAAACAGATTCGTCCTCTCTAAGGTGCTCACAGAATTTGGACGTCTATCTCCCAAGATGAAATGATCTTCAACAAACAGTAACAGCACTACAAACTGTTTGCACAACGAACACACTTTGTATTTATACACTTTCTCACAAAAACTTAAATGCAGCAAAATGTAGAGAGCAATGACAAAAACAATAACGAAAATTAGAGTGCAAAATCCAAATGAGGGTATGTCTATTTATAGGAGAAATTGTGGCTTTTCATATTTGAACCCAACAGGTAGAAAACCTATTTGGTTTTTCTTCGGCACTGTTTGAACAGGTAAGGAACTGTTTGGGTTTTAATTTTGAACAGATACTGAATCTGTTCAGACAAATATGGAACTGTATAGAAAATTTAAAGAAGTGCAAATCGAAATTTGAATTTATTCCAACCGAAAATTGAAATCAAACCGGACAAATTTTAATTTTCCAGAAAATAAAAATAAATTTAAATGTTTTTGGCCCAAAAATATATGTATTGGGCCGGACAAGCCCAACCCAACCTCACACCATGCACTCACGCCCAGCATGAACAGATGGCGGTGGCGACGCGCGCACGTGTGTGTTTATTTTGGGTCCAATGGGTCTAGCTCACTTTGTCCATAACCTCCCCTTCTACAAAACTTGAGTGTCCCTTAGGGCCTACCCTAAGTTTCAAACCCAAGCCTTATAAACTCACACAAAGTTTGCCTACCAAACTAATATGGACAAACCTTAATTCAATCTTTATAGAAATTTCACAAAGAACACCATTTCCATAGAGTTCACTTTGGTTTCAATTTTTCATTCACCCAATAATAGTTTTGAGTAACCAAATATACTATGTGAATCACAACGCAGTATACAACGCGTTAGCACTTAGACCGCTAACTTTAACACATAAATCCCACTTAGAAATTAGACTAAAACCCGCTAACTTTAACACATAAATCCCACTTAGAAATTAGACTAAAACCCGCTAACTTTAACACATAAATCCCACTTAGAAATTAGACTAAAACCCGCTAACTTTAACACATAAATCCCACTTAGAAATTAGACTAAAACCCGCTAACTTTAACACATAAATCCCACTTAGAAATTAGACTAAAACCCGCTAACTTTAACACATAAATCCCACTTAGAAATTAGACTAAAACCCGCTAACTTTAACACATAAATCCCACTTAGAAATTAGACTAAAACCCGCTAACTTTAACACATAAATCCCACTTAGAAATTAGACTAAAACCCGCTAACTTTAACACATAAATCCCACTTAGAAATTAGACTAAAACCCGCTAACTTTAACACATAAATCCCACTTAGAAATTAGACTAAAACCCGCTAACTTTAACACATAAATCCCACTTAGAAATTAGACTAAAACCCGCTAACTTTAACACATAAATCCCACTTAGAAATTAGACTAAAACCCGCTAACTTTAACACATAAATCCCACTTAGAAATTAGACTAAAACCCGCTAACTTTAACACATAAATCCCACTTAGAAATTAGACTAAAACCCGCTAACTTTAACACATAAATCCCACTTAGAAATTAGACTAAAACCCGCTAACTTTAACACATAAATCCCACTTAGAAATTAGACTAAAACCCGCTAACTTTAACACATAAATCCCACTTAGAAATTAGACTAAAACCCGCTAACTTTAACACATAAATCCCACTTAGAAATTAGACTAAAACCCGCTAACTTTAACACATAAATCCCACTTAGAAATTAGACTAAAACCCGCTAACTTTAACACATAAATCCCACTTAGAAATTAGACTAAAACCCGCTAACTTTAACACATAAATCCCACTTAGAAATTAGACTAAAATTGAGAAAAAATTTATTTTTTCCAAAATCATTTCCTCTAGGGAGAACCCCGTGTCCCAACCAAAAGTCGAGTTCATCTGACCCGGGCCACTAAAATGCACATCTTGATCGTGATTAGAATTTCAAATCAAACGTCCTAAAATCTCTGGAGTAATTTCTAACCTATAATTGGTTAATACATTTGTCTATAAATTAATTGGCCTAGTAATAATAACTATTGTTACTTTTCATATGTCATGGGCAAAAAACCTTTATTATGTAACAGCTTAGCAAATAATTCCTTTATGGCGGAGTCAAGAAATTAAATTAAAGAGGGCATTATTAATTATAATTTTTTATTTAAAAAAAGTTATGATCAATATTAAGATAATAATAATTTTATGAGATAAATTTAAGTATAAAAAATTACATATTTATTATTAATAGGAACAAATTAAAATTCTATAATAGTGTAGAATAGTTTGGTGCTGAATGATTTTGCAATTTTAGAACAAAAAATTAAGAATCAAAATTCCTAATTTTAAAAAATAAAAACATATCCTTTATAGTACAAATTATTATAAATTCTATTTAATTTTTATTTGACAGAAAAATATTAAAGAAATGACATTACTTATAAATGATATATTTTGAATGAAAATTATTAAACAGTCTTAGAATACCATATAGCATTGCCTACGTGATGCTTAAAGCATGGGAAATCACAAATAACACTAAGTAGTCTGTCAACTACCTAAAAATAATGAGTTCATTATATCCAATCTATAAAATTTTTTACTATACTATTGGTTTAAACTATTACATAAATAATATCACATAGTGCTCTCAAAATATCAAATAACTATTTATTGTAAACAATACAATAAATCCTTAACCAAAAAACATGTTAAGAAAAAAAATATACATTTTGTATATGACAATAACATACACATACAAAAAAAAAAAAATTCAAAACTGGAGAGGGCCACGTGACCCCCTCGGCCTGCTTTTCCTCCGCCACTATTATAATTCGTTTCATTGGAAGTAAACGGATTAAAATGAGATTTAAAATAATTGTATAGCGTATGGTATATGTACCACAATTTTCTTCAATTTTCTAATGATCGAGAGTCTCACTATTCCGAAGTAATAGAGGATCTAACCATTAGCCTGTGTTTGGCAAGCGTTTTTTCAGGCTTTTTTTGCTATTTTAGCCACAAAAAACAAAATAGGCTATTTTAGCCATAACAAACAAAACATCACATCTAACCTATAATCATTACATTTTTCTCTCACAAAAAAAGTCAAAAAAGTCAAAAAGTCAAAAAGTCCTTCCCAAACCAAGCTTTTTAGCCCAGGCTAAAATAGCCAAAAAAGTCAAAAAGCCAAAAAGCCAACCCACTTCCCAAACGGAGGAATAGTTACGTTAACTTACCTTTATTTTAAATTTATTTTTTTTCTTAAAAAAAAAGAAAAGAAGGGATCATTACATGCGTCGAAGTAATGTTTTTACCTTGAATGCTTGGAGTTTATTTTTTGACTTTTTAAATTTTTTTTTAATTAAAAAATTAATGTGTTTAAAAAGTTGTTAAGAAAATTAGTTTTTATGACTGAAAAAATTAATGTAACATTTAATATTTTTTAACTGATAATAAATAATTTAATAACTTTTAATTTTTTTTGATTTCTTTTAACAAAAAGCTATTTTGTTTAGGATTAACAATTCGTCAACTAAATTTATTTAATCTGAATTCGTTTAAATGAATTTCTCCCCAAAAAGAAACTCCCATACACAAATCTTTTTTTGAGAAGAGACTTATTATTCAAAAAAATATAAACTAAATATATTCGGTGCGTATAGTGGTCCTCTTTTTTTTCCGAACACCTCTAAATAATGTAGTCAAAATCTTTTATTGCAATCAAAATAGAGAATCCTTTTCGAATAGGTTAGGGACTATTTAATTAGTGACAGTTGGGCTTTTGTTTGTTTCTTTGTCATAACCTATGGCCATGACTAGGAAATATAATGCAATCTATTAAGCCAACAATAGTGCTTCATGATCTTATAATTAGGAAAGACGGTAGAGTATTATTTATTTATGTTGTGGAATTGAAAAATATACAGAGATATAATAAATAATGATTGATAAAAGAGTATAACTGTAGCATTGCTCAAGAGGTATCCGAACATGTTAAACAGTTCGAACTCTCTATTTTTATTTATTTATTTAGTCTCATGAGTGTAATGTGAAACATAGATGAGAGTCCATATCTGACAACTTTTATAAAAAAAATAATTTTATTGCAAAACCTTTGCCAAAATAGACTGGATCACCAAATCTTAAAGTTGTCACCTAATACTTTGAAAAAATTATAAAACTCGTGACTTGTGCCAAGGCCACTATTCGTCATAGTTTAACTCTCTGATTTTCTCACTTTCAACAATAATCACTCTTTCTTCTACCAAAGCTATTTCACTATAACAAAACTGGATTTTTACAGTTTCGCATCAACAACATATAGTAAATGCAAGCCGTGATTTCTCACTTTTATGGCTTTCTTTTTTTACATGTCGTAAATAATTTTCCAATGACAGCGTGTCTATTGCATAGACCGTGAACGCTAATAACGATGATTTTTCTTCCGACTTGTAATGTTAGCTGTAAATAATAAAATTTTCTATAATATACATATGACATGCCGTTAATATATCAACTATACAAGACACGCATACACAAGGCGTTAAAAATACTACACTTTTAACAACACACAAAAAATCAATAGTTAAAAATATTACACTTTGGCATACAATGACAGCCGTCAATGTTGTGACCAAAAAAAAGTAGGCGCCAAAATGAAAAACTCTAGTGTTAAACACCAAAAAAAAATAAACAAATATATTAAGGGCTGGTTTGGCATAGACTATATAATCCATCTTTTTATCTTTTTATCTTTTTTCCATCACATCACCTCTCTACTTTTTTGCACATCTTTTCGTAAAAAGACAAAAAGTACACTTTTTTAGAACACTCCAAACCAACCCTAAAAAACACCGTTCCAACCCTTTGACCTTTAATCAAAAGGAACATAGAGAGCTGCTGGGAACATTGAAAAGAAGGGTTGAAAGAACAAAATCGCAGGAGAAGAGAAGGGTTTGAATCGTCTCATCGCAGAGAGATAGAGAGTTGAAGGAGCAAAGCGAAGAAGGTACTACTTTCTCTTTCTATCTTAACCCCCTCTCTCTCTCTCTCTCTCTCTCTCTCTCTCTCTCGTCTTCGTGTCTCTCTCTTTATAGATGCTTATGTCTGATCATCGCACTATTAAACCCTCGATTAAGTTACTACTCATCTTTCTCTTCTTTATTTCCGCTTTTCTTTTTTCTTTTTTCTTTTTTCTTTTTTTTATAGGTATGTATGTATTGAAATTGATAGTGTTCCCGACTAGGGATGGGGGGATTGATGTTCGATCGTGATTACTGATTTGAAGATCACAAACTTCTAATTTTGGAATTATTCTTCACTCTTCCTTCTCAAGGTCCATCTCTCTCTCTCTCTCTCTCTCTCTCTCTCTCTCTCTCGTTTATATGTAATATAGTTGTATATAATTTTGATATTGTATTAATAATCTTATCTTTGTGTTCTGATTTTCTGTTTGATCATTCTGCATCGCTCTCCGTCTTCAATTTGTAGGATGGGTTCAAATTTTTAGCAAAAGTTGTCATTGTTTGAAAATTAGCCTTGATTGCTTCTTCATAATTTGTAGTTTTAGAAATAATGAAGGAGAAAGTAGCTTGCTTGGCTTAATGTGTTCACTGTGTACTTGGATTCCAGTATATGGAGTTATACTTGTCCTGTTTTTTATGAATCTTGTGCTTGGTTCCAGTATATGAAGTTGCACTTGTCCTATTTTTTTTATGAATATTGTGCTTTCTTTTCTTCATGTTATCCAAAGAATTCTCAGGTGGCAAATGCAAGGTACCATTTGACTTGTGTTGGGTTCCATTATGTTTCTTTCTCTATTTTCATTTTGTCTACTTTACCCATTACCAAGCACTCTTGCATGTATACATGTAAAACGGGGAGAAAAAATAAAGTTGACGAGCCTGCTTTATGATCATCTCTATACCCCTGCAGTCTACTAACTTTTTCTTTTTCTTTTGCATGTTCTTTTGTTTTCTTTACTTATTTCATTTGAATTAAAGATATTTGTGTTTGCAACTGTTCCAGCACAATGACACATATTCTGCCACTAAAGTTGAAGGAGAGGCGCTGGTCATCAAGTCAAATGATAGTAATGGGCTTCTAACATGCTGCATCTGTCTTGGCAGCATTTTCGGTCCTGGTGATGAATTACTTGTTCCATCATTGGTATTTGCTGCGAGGGCAGGGAAATCGAAGGTCACCCAGTTTTTTGTCCATTTAATTTCTCATGTTGTGACTGCCTTACATATTGGTTTTATAATGTTCTAGAAATTCAGGTGTTTCATTCAAATCAAGTTGGTGGATAGCGAGGTTCTTAATCATTTGAATCCATATAATTAATAAATGGCATAACGTAGGTGTTCTTGCACTTAGGGCATTGAAAATTGAGTATTTGTGCTGCATACATTCTCTCTTTCTGTAAAACACTAAACCAGTTACTAACTAAAAACATTTGTATTTCATATGTTTTGTGATCTTTTCAATTTTTATTGGTATTGTCCTTTGTACACTCTGGAATTCTAACATTTATTTTACTAGTAGTTTGGTAGTCATACCACCTCCAAAGGAGAGGTGCATAATTATGTGTGCATAGATATCTAACTTATGAAGAAAAAAAAAGGAAAGAAAAGAAAAGAATTTAACATTAATTTTTATTGTTTTATTTGAAATGAGCAGTTTCTTATTAGTAATGGCAAGAACATGTAAGATTTCACTTATGTTGAAAACGTGGCACATGCCCATATATGTTGTCATGCCCTGGATTTACACGGTCCGGCTCACATGAATAAATCATCCAACGATGAACAATAGATAATAATTTTCATGCAAATGAATGTAATATAGTTACACAATACATGTGTTTATCTGATTTCATACATTCCTAAATACAACATCTAAGTTGAATGAATGTTTTGTAACTAAAATATATACAGATGTTATAAATTAAATTAAACGCCTTAAGGCTTACATCATATACAAAGGGTGTAACCCTTACAAGAATGACACACAGCCAAATAAATAACATATATGGCCCATGGCCTATAAGTAACAGAATCACCCTACACGGTTCCAAACACAACTTCACGTCTCTATTCACATCTATACATGCATGCCTGAAAAACATTTTCAGCCACGTAGGATGAGTATAAAGCTTAGTAGAGAATATTTTAAAAACTAAACATGCTCTACCAGCATAAATAATCATGATGCAATACATATATATAATATGCGCAAATGCTAGGGATGAGCAGCAGATATACCGATCCACCCAAACCGATTGAACCAAACTGATCCGCCACATTTTGGACGAATGCGTGATAACGAACGGACGAATGCAGATTGATTTTTTCCAATCCGCCTAATTTTGGATGGATGGTGGATTTGAGGTTCCTTTGGCCACAACCGAACCGCCAAATCGCGAGCACTCCTAGTAATTTGTAAGACTTTGTGTTTTCAATTCGTTTAGATATTCTGTTTGTATTTTCAATTAAAAAAAGAGTTTAAATATTATGTTGAATATATTCTTTTGAAAAAAAAGTTTTCAACTTGACTATATTTTTTAATTGAAAAAAATAAATATATTATTTATTTATATTTTTTGGTTTTTAAATATAATTCTAAAAACAATAAATAAAAAAGATGACATATGCTAGTTGGTTTTTGTTTTCAAAAAATAGATATAGATGTAACAATACAGAGGCATACAATCTCTACTACTACTTTGTTCATGGTTTTGGTGGTTTTAATTATTTTTATATTTTAATAACCACAGATTATAATACTTCACGTAATACTTTATGTATAAAAGGCATGCTGTGATTATAATATGTAGATGATGAATGCAGTAATTGTAATATTCTAAAGTTTTTCTTTCTTTAAATGAGGTATGCAGTGATTGTAATATTTTTTTAAATCACTGACGGTATTACCTTTTTTTTTCTTTTTTGAAGAAGTGCACAAGTTGAATTATGTTGAAAATTTATAAAATTTTAAACCACCAAACCCATTCTCATCTATATGCCAATCCGCTTAATCCACATCCGCCAGATTGGCAGACAGATGCAGATTGATTTTTTCTAATCCGCCAATCTGGCAGACGGATGACGGATTGGAGGTTCTGTGGCCACAACCAACCCGCACCCCACCCCTAGCAAATGCATTTTCAAATCCACCTGATTCCTCAACAAAATCTTCTATTTCCAATTACCAAAACCTTCGTTTAATCAAAACTATTAGACTTATTTATTTTGATGATTTATTTAATTATGTTTTTAATTTATTTGGAAGAGAAAAATAAAATCAAAATTTATTTTGATGATTTATTTGAAAGAGAAAAATAAAATGAAAATTTATTTTATCCCATTATTTCTCACCTAAACCTTTATCCTAAATGTTGTTAGAATGCATTTAATATTTGATTAAATCAGGAGTTCAAACAGCCCAGCACAATAGCAGTTCAAAAGGTTCAAGTGGAAGATATTCAAATTTGTAATGATGGAGTGGAAGATATTCAAATTGGAAATGGTAGAAGTACAATGGCTATAAACGGTTATAAACAGCTATAAATTCAAATGAATACAAATTTGTAATGATGGAGTGGAAGACATTCAAATTAGTAATGATGGACTACAACGGTTATAAACGACTATAAATTCAAATGAATACAACAGTTATAAACGGCTACAAATTCAAATGAATACAACGGTCATAAACGGCTATAATTTTCATTATATATACCAAAGCCTATAATGTAAACAAGTTACAAAAAATCAGAAAATATTCTTTGATCTATAATCGCTCATATTATTTTTTGAAAAATTCTCTGAGGAGTGTTCTTCAAGTTTTGTTTACATCCTCTCTTAGAAAATATACACTAAGCCTTATAGCTTTAAGCCTATCTTTCCTGTGTGAGGTTTACAGAAAAATCAGAGTTTCATTTTGTATATCCATCTTTGAGAGATATTTATTGTAAGCTTTCTTTGAAAGCAAAAATACCATTTCATCTTGTAAAAGTGTTGCAAACACTGTGTTCTTGAAATCTTGAGAGTGATTGTGAATCACCTAAGATTTGCAAGGGTTTGGGCTTGTGAAGTCTATGTAAAATCCATGGAAGATCGCTCCATTTCTAAAGAGGTTGCTAGCACCTCCATGAAGCTAGAGTATAGTGGAAAATCTCAAGTGAAGCTTGAGGAGTGGACGTAGGCCGAGTTGAAACCGAACCACTATAAATTTATTTTCCTCTCTCTCTCCCTTATCTCTTTATTATTTAAATTGATGTAGCTATATTTTACATTTTCACTGTGCTAAAATCATTAATTGACATAGTTGTTAGAACACTTGTTTTAATTATTTTTATTTTATTAACTATATTTATCTATTGTGCTAGTCATAATTTTTATTAGGGTATTATTAATTAATAATTGTAAAAACATAATTCACCCCCTCTTAGGTTGTTTTTTGGATAACAATTGGTATCAAAACTTAGACTCTTGTTTAGATTTAACCATCTAGGAGTTTCGATTCATGTCAACCTTAGCTGAAGGACAAGCCACAAATAGCACACCATTGTTTGACGGAAACAACTATGGTCATTGGAAGGATAAGATGACCCTATACCTACAAGCCACTGATTATTCCATATGGATTATTGTCACCAAAGGTCTAAAAATTCCTACCAAATTAGTAGACAACATTAGTGTACCTAAAACTGAAGATGAATGTGATAAGAGAGATCATAAATTATTGCAAGTCAATGCTAAAGTCAAACTGACCCTTGTTTGTGGATTAGACTCTAAGGAGTATAATAGAATTTCAAGTTGTGATTCGGCAAAAGAAATTTTGGACAAACTTGAGGTAACGTATGAAGGTACAAACCAAGTGAAGGAATCTTGTATTGATATGCTTGTTCATAGTTATGAATTGTTTAAAATGAACTCTGATGAATATATTTTAAGTATGTTTACTAGATTTACTGAAATTGTAAACTCTTTGAAATCTCTTGGCAAAACTTATACTAACAGTGAGTTGGTAAGAAAAATTCTTAGGTGTTTACCAAAGAATTGGAAAGTAAAAGTCAAGGCCATTATAGAAGCCAAAAATCTCTCCACACTTAGATTGGATGAGCTTATGAGTTCCCTTATGACTCACGAGATCACCATGAAAGGACATGAGGATGTTGAAAACAAAAAGAAAAGTGGAATTGCATTCAAAACCTCATCAAATGAAGAAGAACATGAAAACTCCAGTGAGGATGAAAGCTATACCATGTTTAGTCGAAATCTCAAAAAGCACTTCAAGAAAAACAATTATGGAGGAGGAAGACCTTTCAAGAAAGAGTATAACAAAGATAAAAAGAAAGAACTTATTATTTGCTATGAGTGCAAAAATCCTAGACATATGAAGATGGATTGTCCAAAATTGAAAAATCATGGAAAAGACTACAAAAAAAAACAAGAAGGTCATGGTAGCAGCTTGGGGAGAAAGTGAAGATGAAAGCTCAAGTGATGAAATTGAAAATGAAGTAGCTAACTTGTGTCTCATGGGTCTTGAAGATGAAGACTCTACTCAATATGAGGTAACTACTCTTTATGAAGAACTTGTTCCATGAACTAAAAGATGAATTTAGAAAAGTTTGTGCAAAAAATAATATGTTAAAAAAATCTGTTGCATCTTTATCTAGTAATATAGAAGAATTAAAGAAAGAAAAAATTGTTTCGAAAAATGATTTTGACACTATCTCTAATGAGAAAACTGCTTTAAAAAATAATGTTGATGATTTAACAAAAACACTTAAAATTTTTGTAAAAGGTAGAAATAATCTCAACATGCTTCTTGGAAATTAAAGATGTGTTTTCGATAAAGCGGGCATTGGATATGACCCTATTAAGAAACAAAAGAATCTCAATACAATTTTAAAAAGGCACCTCTCATGGCACACCCTCATATTACTTGTCATTATTGTAGAAAGAAATGTCATTATATATCTTATTGTCCATTCAAAAAGAATATGAACATGAGAATTAAAAAGATTTAGATTATTAAGGGATTTAACAAAACTAACCAAGAAGGACCCAAGAAACTATGGGTATCAAAAACCAACACTTGATTATCATCTTGTAGGTTTGTCTTAAGTCCAAAGTTAAAGAAGGGAAGTGGTACCTTGATAGTGGATGTTCCAGACACATGACCAAAGATAAAATCCTTCTTTACTACACTGTCAATGGAGGCCTTGTTATTTTTGGAGACAACAAGAAAGGAAAAATCATTGGTATTGGTAGCATAGGTATTTCTCCTAACCCTTCTATTGAAAATGTTTTACTTGTTAATGGACTTAAACATAACCTACTTAGTATTAGTCAATTATGTGATAAAAATAATTAAGTTATTTTTGATAAATCACATTGCACAATTGAAAGTACAAATGATCATAAAGCTTTATTCGTTGGTAATCGCCATGAAAGCTTTATTCGTTGGTAATCGCCATGATA